GCTGGAAAAAGATCAGCTGCTCCTCCTCTGATTGGCTCTTCTTCTCTGCTTCATATCAGTGTCAGGTGAATGCAGTCAGACAGCAGAGAGGCAGAGGAAGCTGCATCAGCTGCTGCACTTCTACTATCAGTCCACTAGATGGAGACATGGAGCAACATTTACATTCACTGATTCCCTCTGACTGAACATTAAGGTCTGAACATGTGCTCCATAAATACTTAATGATGTGACTGAATGAAACACATTTTAATAATAATAGTTTATTTTAAAGGATGCGGCAGAAAACTGCTGTGTATGAGTTTAATTGTTTAGACCTGAGGACTCTTTCATGAAAGTAAGATTCAGAAATCCAGGATAAGAGATAAATCCAGGCTTTTTCCGTGTCACAAAGTCCAAACCAATCTGAGGAAATGTGTCTATAATGAGCCAGGTCTAAATAAATCAGATGAACGCTCATTCACAGACTTCTTCAAGAGACCATGAGATCAGTCACAGGTTCACTGATGCTATCATAAATAAATTGCGTACGCTATTCCTTAACCCAAAAAAAAAAAGTCTTTATTTGTTTCACAATCTCCACAATGGAGGATTGTGAAGAACTGAAGCACATCATACTGAAGAAAAAACTTCTATTGGAGCCAAATATGTGTATTTTTGGTGTTTTGGTCGCTAGATGGGCTGACGACTCCAGTATATGAACAAAGAGGTGAGCGGTAGTTGATAGGTGTTGAACCTGGAAGGGCATACAAGTTTTTGACCAATGTGGCGGAATCTTTGTTAACACTGTTGCTGTGTATCATGGAATAAATTGATTTTGTTCACAAATGATTCATCTGACTGGAATTGATTTGGAATTTGGACTTCAAGAAGTTCTGGGATTGACTTTACAAATGATCAACATGTACAACATTAGCTGCTCAGCGCATCTTAACTAAGCAGCAACAGATCAACACTTAACTGGTTCAGTATTAAACTGGCTAGTACAATAATAAACAGTAGTGTTGGATTGAGTGCATAATTAGCTCAACATAGACATTTTGAAACCATTCTCAACTAAAAACCATCATAATCATGTCTGCCATTTGCTCAAATATACAACTTTAAACTCATAAATTAACAATGGAAGTGAATATGATCATGTGAACCTGACAGTGGGTTGGTTTTCTCTTCCTCTTCTCTGTGAAGCTGATGGTTTTTATTCTCCCTCCCTCATCTGCTCTGCTTTTTGCTCTGTGTGCTGTGCTATCTTTCTTAGAGTCTATGTTTGCACATCTTCCAAATTGCAAATTCAATCCAAATAGAGTTTGGATCTGGTATCGATGAGAAGATTGGGCAAAGGTCAGCCCTCCTGCCCCAGTGGGACATTTGCATCTGGATACATGATGGACTCCTGGGAGAAAGAAAACCCTGAGTCTGTCCATATTGTTCGTTTGCCAATGTTTAAAATGCACATAATTTAATTTTTGATAACAGGATTTCTGTTTTTTGGACCTGGCAGGTACCTCACATATCTTGAAATTTGGGAAATGTTGGCAGCTATTCTGGCCATTGAGAGGCTGGCTGGTTCATATAACAAAATGCCCTTACTGTAAACGCTCCTGTGTGAGCAGAACCAGACAGGAAGTGATTCTTGTTGAGAACCACAGCTCAGTTCCAGTTCCCGAAACTTGCTGGCAGGAAGTAACAGACCTTGGAGAAGTTGCCATCTCAGCTTGGTGAGATTGATCATCAGTTTGTCTGTCTGGAGTCGCCTTTGAAATGTAACAGACTTTAAAGCAGATGGGGAACTTAACAGAGTTGGCCTGATCCAAAATAAATTATTGTCAATCAAAATCAATCAATCAAATTTTATTTGTATAGCACATTTCAGCAGCAAGGCATTTCAAAGTGCTCTATATCATCAGATATACAGAAAAACAAAGTCATGCAACATGGAATCAACAATCAAAACATTACATTAAGTCATTAAATTTGTAATTGATTTTTTCAAATAAAACTCTAAACAGGTGGGTTTTAAGTTGAGATTTAAAGACACTCAGTGTTTCAGCTGTTTTACAGTTTTCTGGAAGTTTGTTCCAGATTTGTGGTGCATAGAAGCTGAATGCTGCTTCTCCTCATTTGGTTCTGGTTCTGGGGATGCAGAGCAGATCAGAACCAGAAGATCTGAGGGGTCTAGACGGTTGGTACAGCAATAACAGATCTTTAATGTATTGTGGTGCTAAACCGTTCAGTGATTTATAAACTAACAACAGTATTTTAAAGTCTATTCTCTGAGCTACAGGGAGCCAGTGTAGGGACTTTAAAACTGGTGTTATGTGCTCTATCTTCCTGGTTTTAGTGAGAACGTGAGCAGCAGCGTTCTGGATCAGCTGCA